AAAATCTTTAAAAAAAAATGTAAAGATATGTTAGAGTTTTCAAGCTCTCTCTCTTTCCAGCTCAATCAGTTTTAGGGGATTTGAGAGTTAAGCCCTAGATCAGAGAAGCTGTTTTGGTAAGGAGTGCTCAGCCCCAGAGAGTCAGAATAGAGCATTTCTGCTGGTAGTGAGCTCCCTGTCAACAGGCCCTTTTTTGAAATCCTGTGTCGATGCTTCTTCAAAACGATCCTTAAAAAACAAACAAACAAACAAGAAAACGATCCTTTCTGGCTGTGGCCCTATCTGTTCTAGGACTGTTTACAGTTCTGCTTTCCTGAGTTTTTGCAGCAGTTTGGTTGTGACTGCTTATTTCGGGGTAAAACTTTTCGAATCCTCCTCAAGAGTTAAGACCATCACCAGGCCACTCCTTTCTTGAAGCGGAGAGTTATTTTCATTGAACCAGACTTCTCTGAACACCCGCACCATGCTAGGCTTGGAGCTCAGAGGTGACTCAGAAAGATCTCTTTGAGGAATCCATTTGTAAGACCTCAGGAAATGAGAGACTCATACAGATAGAAGTGTAATAAGGAGATTCAGACCCCTGGCTGGAAGTGCATAGCATAGGTTGGGGCTCCAAGGAGGAGCCCTCAGTTCAACTTAAAGTGTCTGATTCTGATTCAGAAAGATAGGAGGTAACAGTAAGAATGGGGATTGGGGGAGGAGTTTCCAGCAGAAGAAAAAAAAAAAAGAAAGAAAGAAATCTCACCATTTGCACTAGATGGAACTAGAGGGTATTATGCTAAGCGAAATAAGTCAATCCAAGAAAGACAATTACCATTTGATCTCACTGATACGTGGAATTTAAGAAACAGAATGGAGGATCATCAGGGAAGAGAGGAAAAAATAAAACAAGATGAAACCAAAGAGGGAGACAAACCCCAAGAGACTTTAAATCATAGGAAACAAACTGAGGGTTGCTGGAGGGGAGGGAGGTGGCTGGATGGGGTAACTGGGTGATGGATAGTAAGGAGAGCACGGGATATAACGAGCACTGGGTATTACATAAGACTGATGATAAATCACTGACCTCTACCTCTGAAACCAATAATACATTATATGTTAATTAATTGAATTTAAATTTTTTAAAAATGAAAGGAAGGAAGGAAGGAAGGAAGGAAGGAGGGAAAGGCACAGAGCTACAGCGTCTGGGTGGCTCCGTGGGTTGGGCGTCCACCTTTTGATTTCTGCTCAGGTCATGATCTTGGGGTTGTAGAATCAAGCCCCATGTTAGGCTCTGTGTTCAGTATGGAGCCTGCTTGAGGTTCTCTCCCTCTCCCTCTGCCCCTCCCACTCCTGCTATAAATAAATAAGTAAGTAAATAAATAAATAAATAAATAAAATATTTAAAAAAAGAAAAGAAAAGCCCCAGAGTTGGAAGAAGGTGCTGCAGGACCGGGAAATGCCAGTCGAGTGTCCTGTGAGAGATACAGCTAGAGGGGCAGGCAGGGAGCCCTTAGGAAAGGCCTTTAACTCCAGTTGGGATGTATATGCGGAAAGATCTTTCAGATCTTTTACTGGGGAGGCTAGACAGGCGATGAAGCAGGAAGGGCTGCTGCCATAGGCTAGAAGATCTTAAGAAGCATCCAGTTCTTTTCTTTTACAGATACACTGTCTCAGGCCCAGAGAGGTAAAGTGACTCGCTCAAGGTCACCCAGCAAGATCAACAGCAAAGTCATGCTTCAACATGTGGGTCCTGCTTCCCAGCCTGGGCTTCTTTCGCTGCCCTACTCTCCTTAGGAAGGTGGGCAACCCACGAAGATTTCCCTGTTGTCCTTGGCCTCTGAATCCGTTATGTGCTCTGCCCCTGCCACAGCCCAGCCGGCTAGAAGAGTGTCGCGGAAGTGTTTCCAGAGGACAGGGTGGGGAGTACTGCTGCTGCTGCTACTGCCTCCCCTCCAATCAGGGAGCTTTCTAGCCGCAGGAGGAAGCCAGGAACCAGGGGATGGGGCTGCAGTGATTTATGACTGCACAGAAACAGCAGGACACTAATGTCTTTGGCTGGCCTGCTTGTCTGCCAGCTCAGGCAGAGAGCGTGCATCTAAAGGTCATGTCCTCCAGTACTGGTGATGGGGCGGAGGGTGAGCTGTCCAGGGTGCCCGCACTTTATCAGGTCCATTACCAGAGGGCAAGGGCCCCCCTTTCCCAAGCAGATGCCAAAGGGTAGACTCCCCCTAGCCTGGGCAGGGAGTCTGGAAGATCTGCCTGGGTTTGAATTCAGGCTCTCAGTCACTGGTGTGTGAAACTTGGCTGGTCACACAGCCTCTCACACAGCCTCTCTGTGTCTCAGCTTCCTGGTCTCCAGAACAGGGATGATTCTGAGCCGCTCAACCCTTGGGACTGAATCATCTCCCAGTTCTGCAGATACCGATTCCCTGTTTCCACAGCTGAATCTAGAACAATGACTTGTCACAGCTGGGTGGGGCACTTGGTGCTTATTTTGTTTGATTTCTCACTTCAAAGTTGGAGAAATTAAAACCCTGAGAAGGGACGGGCTTTGCACACAGAGCTGGGGGTTCGGCAGAAGCCAGGAAGCTAGTTTTCCACCTCCCTGCTCCAGGTTTTTTGTGGTTTTTGTTTTGTTTGTTTGTTTTCAGCAGTGGAGAAAGGAGCCAGAATATTAAGCCATTTGCTCTGTGTTATGCCGCCTCTGAAGCCGTCCTCTAAACAGCCAGGGGCTGCGGGGCTGCTGCAGCTTTAAGCTTAGAGTCTTAAAAAAATCAAAAAGGAAAGGAGGGCAGGGCCAGCTCTCCCCTGCACCATTGGAGGGAAGCTTTGATGTGGAGACTGCAGATGTCATTCCTCTTTGGCTTTGGAACATCCTTTTCTTCGCATCTGCTTTATTTTTCCCAAACAGATTTGGCCTGGATTTTTAAAATGGTGATGATTTGTAATGCACATTGGACTGGTGGAGAAAGGAAATGAGGTGGAGAGGTTAGAGAGGCAGCCTGAAATGTACCAGGAAGTTCCCAAGATTTTGTGTCTGGGGCCCAAATCATTGACACCTACAATGCACAGGAGGACGAGTGGGGTTGGCTAATCAGGGCTCATTGCCACGGACCTGTGATGCCCAGGCTGGAATGGCTCAGGCCTGGCCTGCAGGGAGGAAGAGAGAGGAAGAGGAATGACTTGGCCAATACTCATGTAAGAGACAGAAGGAAGTGGGAGGGTTTATTCACCAGGAGGCCAGTATTTTGCTGGGTGTTTGTAGTAAGGGAAGAGAGGCTAGATCCCATGGTGGTGGTGGGGAGAGCTATTTCCTCCCTAGAGCCTTTCCTCCACTGAGTCCGTCTCCTCCACTTCTGCCAGAGCAGGCTCCCTGAAGTGCATGCATTCCATAATTCATTTATTTCATATGTTCTACATATTTACTGTGTGCCAGGTGCTGTGCTAAGCTCTAAGAAGGCAATGATAATGAACACAGATGCAAATCTCATCATTTTCTGGCCCTCATTAAGCTCTCTCCGCAGGTTTCCTATTTATTTCAGGATAAAGTCTTCACTACCTTGCCTGCCATTCAGGGCTTCTCATGTTCTGGCTCCTGACTCCATCCCCGGTCCCACTACCCATCACTTAAGGCAACAAACACATTGGATTCTTCGCCTAATGATAAATAAATGCTTCAGGGAGAAACCAGCCTCTGAGTCCTGCTGCCTGTAGCCCCTTCATGCTCTCAAATGCTACACATCCTTTAAGAAAATCCTTCGTTCTAGATTCTCATACACAACACTTCCTATCCTGTATTTTTTTTAATTTTTTTAAACTCCTTATCACTTCCTAACATACTCTACATACGTATCCTTATATCACCTATTTTTTTGGGGGGGGTTAGGGATTTTTTGTTTTGTTCCTCTCTCTCCCCCATTGCTTAGAACAGTGCTTGGAACACAGTAGGTGCTCAACAGATAACTGCTGAAAAAAATTAAGCAGGTAAAATGTACAGTCAAAACTGCGGGTGTGTGAGCTACATGGGATGTGGAAAAGGGAAGCATACGAGCAAGAATTTGCCAGCCTGACCTCTGTGTGTAAGTCCTAGGTGGGGAGGGAAGGGTTGGTTTAACCCTCAGATACAACCTCGCCTTAAGCATGCAGTAGGCTCTTGGCAACAGAATTGAATCTTTGACACCCCACCCTGGAGAGGAAGGATCTCCCTAGGGGTCAGCCTGTGGACAACTGCATCCTTTCTGTAAATTAACCAGAATGCCTGGCCAGTATTTGTCCTTCCATGTTTTCACCCCTTCGGGTCCACGAACCTCAACGTGGGTATGGGGAAAGAGAACCTTGTGGGGGAGGGTGACAGTTTAGCTCCCAATATTAAGCTCCTTAATTCAATGCATCCCGCAGCGGGGCACTACCCTGGCATGTCTGGATCTGCGGCGGACGCGCGTCCTGTCCTCTGTTCCTCCCTGGCCTGCTGCTACTTTATCTCAGAGACAGGGGCCAGAGCTGAGGTCCTGGCCCCCTCCCCTCGTAATTTCCCGGAGAATATGGGGCGGGGCCGTGAATCAGCACTCGCTCGGACTGATGCAGCTTCAGTCCCCGCCAGGGGTCCCCAGTGGCCGCGGAATTAGAAACCCCCCCCCCCCCGCCAACTTCGCCACCGCTCACGCGCTATGACCATTGGGAGTTGTAGTCCTGACCGCCCCTTTGTCCTTGATATCTCCAGCGTATCACCCCACTGCTGGGTGAACTACAACTCCCAAGGGCCCACGCACTGGGCCTGACAGAGCGGAGGCGTGAGGGGGTAGTTTGTAGGGTAGTCTGGAGAAACTGGGGCGCAGGAATCGGGGCGAAGTGAAGAAGGGGGAGCACTGGCAGGGGGTCGGGGGAAGAGGGGGACTCCCAGAAAGGGGCCGCGAGCTCAGCTGGGGAGGGGAAACCCGAGAAGCGGAAGAGCCGGGGCGGGGCCGGGGCGGGGCCGGTTGCGTCACGCGGCGTGGGCGGGGCCGCAGGGGGTTGTCCGCCCGCGGCACGCACAGCAGCCGCAGCCGCCTCGCGCCCGGTCCCGCGGTCGCAGCTCGAGCCATAGTCTCCGCGCCGCCGTCGTCGCCTCGGCTGCTCGCTTCGTGGGTCGGCCCCTCCGGCACACGGGCTCCAGCCGCACCGCAGCCGCCCTCCGAGCCCTTCAGGTCGCCCCGGTCTCCTCACCCGGCCCGACCCAGCCCGCGAAGATGGTGGACCGCGAGCAACTGGTGCAGAAAGCCCGGCTGGCCGAGCAGGCGGAGCGCTACGACGACATGGCCGCGGCCATGAAGAACGTGAGTTTCTCCTCCCCTCCCCCCGCCTCGCCCCAGTCCCTTCGCAGACACCGGTCTTCGCGTGGACGGCCCCGGGGACTAGTCGCCAGTCGCGACTGCAGCGTTGACCGCCCCTCCCCATCCACTCGCGGGGCTGGGAGGGCCCCGACAGCGATAGGGACTCGAGCTGTGACGCGGTCTCTCCTCGAGCGTCCCCCAGGGCCGGCGGCGCTGCCTCGTAGGCCCTCCCCGGGCTCGGGCTGGAACGGGATCTTGCAGGGCTGGTCTCGGGATCGGGGTCCCTGGCCCAGTGTCTCCGGGTCCGCTGGGGACCTGAGCGGGGGCCGTGAACATCCTTTGTGCCCCACTTCCCCTCCTCCCAGCCTGGGCGTGGGGGCGGGGGACCGCATGGATGCGGTTCCTCTTTCTCTCCCCGGTGTCTGGGCGGCGCCTTTCCCATTCACTCATCAGGTCTCCGGGTTTTCTAATACTGCCCCCCCGCCCCCCAGATCTTCCCCACTGCCTCTCCTGATGGATCCTTTAGAACCTATCCGGGAAAAATGTAGGCTCTCCTGAAACCCTGGGCTCAGTGGTGCCAAACCGAAACCTCCTTGCTGCCCTCACGTTTTTCTTAACAAAAGGCTCCTCTTTTCTCTATACCCCAAAGCAAGTCCTCTTTCTTTTAGGCAAGGGGAACGTATATCTCGCCAGCTTTTTCATTGATCGTTCACAACATGACCTCTCCATTTCCCCCTAATTTTTCTTGTATTTAAAAGGGTAGGTAATTGTCTTTAAAATAAAGGTTATGCATTTAGCCGACTGATTCAATTTGTGACACATGCGGGTTCTTTTTTAAATATAGGCACACATCTGTTGAAATTCCTATAAGTTGAAAAAATATTCTCTCTGATCTGATGTTGCAAACAAAGCAGTGGTGGGAGGCAGTATCAAGTCATTCTAGAAGATTCTGCATTTGTCATATTGCAGAGAGCCTAGACTGGGTGGAGGCTGGGAGGAGTTATTTTAAAGGAGGAAAAAGTCTTTTTTTTTTTTTTTTTTAATTTGTTGTAGGTATAGCTGAGGCTTTTTTTCTTTTAAATAAGAAAAGCTAGCGCAACCTCATACTGATGGAAAGAGAATGCTGATCGCCAGTTGTCGCATTTTGTCTGGGATTCAGATCCTTGCCTGTATTGCACCATTTTGTCAGTAACACTACATTTTTCTAATGGGCTATCAAGGAGTTTGATATTGGAGGAGGAGGCAAATATTGAGCATTATTATGAAATACGGAGAATTATCTAATGAATGATTTAGGTTTCCCACTATCTTAACATTTAACTTCCTGCCTTATGTAACAAAGGGTTTTGAAAATGCATCTCCGGTGTGAAGTGGATTCAGGACTGTATCTTGGCATGTTAAATCTTTTTAATGAAGCAGTGTAGGTATCCCAGGTTAATTCTTAAATAATTTTGCTATTTCATAAAAGATAACCGTGCTGATGCTTTTTTGTTTAAGCCAGCTGCCTTCACAAGAACGATTTTTCTCGTTAAGGAAGAGCCCTGATTCTGAAATTGGGAGTATTGCTGTATTAATGTATTGCTCCAGATGCTATCTTTTAAAACATTTTTAAAGCTCAGCTGGTAACTTCTGCTTTTAATATGTAACAGTATTGGAAATATGTTTAGTTCATGTTAGACTCTTCTAATTTTTCCATATTTCTAGTTTCACAGGAAAGTGAGTGACCTCGCACCTATATCCATAGCAACCCAGTGATGTCACACACAATGACACAGAGGCTGCAATGCACCTAAGGGCTGGTAGGGAGTATGCAGATGGCATTTGTCCAAGGTAACGCAGAAATTAGCAGATAAGCAGGTGGAATTGAGCACTTCACCGTGTTCACCAGATAGGAGGTGGCCCCCAAAATAAGGATTTCATTTACCTTTAGGCATGCAAATCAGTGACCTCTTGATAGGCCTGTTCGTTTTCCAATTTCTAGTTTACTTAGGAGAGTATAAGATACATTTGTATTTTAAAACATTTGTTTCATTGTTAAAAATTGAACAGTAATAAATGTGATATAATATATAATAAAATATGAAAACAGCGATTTTAAACAAGAATGTCTTCTGATCATAGTGCTGGGTGGGCTGTATGCTTGGGTTTATTGCAGATTATTAACTTGCCAGGTTTTAATAAAAGGCTTAAAAAATTATGACTTCCTTGGTCATTTTCAGTAATGTGAGAGAGTGAGAATTCGTTACAAAACACTTTTAGATTAAGATTTGGGAAAGTTCTCTTTTGCCGTAGTTACTTCTGCTGCTTGTCAGAATATGGAGGAAAGAACAGTTTGTAAAATAAAGCAGACCTTTTTTCAAATCTCTACTGGGACTGAGGAAGTATGCTTACCTCTGACCCTCATTTTCCTCATCTGTAAAATAGGTCAATATCTACTTGAAAAACTTGTGAGGATTAAATAAAGAAAGTAGTAGTGCTCAAAAATAGTAACTATTTGTGAAACTTTGTTTCTTCCTGTGTTTATAAAAGTCATCTCATCCTGGAGAATTTGGAAAGTACAGAAAGATACAAATAAAATACTCTGTCCTGTCACTTAAGTGAATACCCTTCTAAGGCTGAAATCATCCTGATGATGGGAGCTTAAATTTATTTGCGTTTAATGAAATTATTCTGGTAATAATACTGTTGGGACTTGTGCAGCGTGGTAGTTGTGTGTAGGTGACGAGGATGGGGAATAGCATGCAGTGTTTTGAGGAAGGAAGGGGGAAGTTTAGAGTTGTGGGGGGTTTTTTTTTTTGTTTTTTTTTTTTAAAGTGAATTTTTTTTTTTTTTTTAAGTAATCTCTACACACACTGCCAGGCTTGAACTAACCACCCAGAGATCAAGAGTCACATGCTCTTCACATGCGGAGTCAGTCACGCACCCGAGAAGTTTAGTTTTTTAAGAGAAACCTGTAGTCTTCCATTTAAGGGGGGAGTGAACACCTAGATGTTTCTTGCGTCGTCCTTTGGATTCTAATAGCCTCTCCAGAAGTTAATAAGCTAAGTAGGCTACTGGTACTTGCCTCAGGAGGGAGAAAAGGTTCTGGGCTACTCATCTTTTTAAAGTGACTGGATTGGGGGGCACTGGCTGCAGAAGGCTATCTTAATTATATAAAAAAGTCTTCTTGGAATCAGTATAGTTGAAAATTCTTGCTATCTTGGCGTGCCTGGGTGGCTCAGTGGTTAAAGCCTCTGCCTTTGGCTCAGGTCATGATCCCAGGACCCTGGGATGGAGCCCGGCGTTGGGCTCTCTGCTCAGCAGGGAGCCTGCTTCCCTTCCTCTCTCTCTGCCTGCCTCTCTGCCTCCTTGTGATCTCTGTCTGTCAAATAAATAAATAAAATCTTAAAAAAAAATTCTTGCTATCCTAAATATTTTCTTTTTCCTGCTGGCTCTTCCAGGAGGCTAGATCAATAGCCATTATCACTAATGGAGTAAGGACACCTCTGCGGACTTAGAGGTGGAGTCCTGCCAGTCATTATTCTAAGTCATGTGGTCTCAATTGTTCTCTTTGAAAAGAATACAGATAACAGTTGGCTTTTTATGCAGTATTCTTTGCAATAACTGAAATGACATATTAAATGCTTTTTGTAATTATTTTAAAAAAGCTTCCTATGTATCTTTTGAATTACATCAAGACAAAAGGTGTTGCTAAATGTAGATCCTTATTTTTTTATTTTTTTATTTGACAGAGATCACAAGTAGGCAGAGAGGCGGGCACGGGTGGGGGGGGAAGCAGGCTCCCTGCTGAGCAGAGAGCCCGATGAGGGGCTCAATCCCAGGACCCTGAGATCGTGACCTGAGCCACCCAGGCGCCCCAATGTATATCCTTATTATAGAGCTTTGGATTAATAGCAGACCATGGAGAGAATTTCATCCCCTAGTACCTTTGGGAAGCCTTATTTATTTATTAAGCCAAACTCTAAATTGTCAAAAACTAGAGAAAATTATGTTGTTTTTACCGAGGTAAAAGTCACATAAAACTAACCGTTCTCCTAGTGTACAATTTGGTAACATTTAGCACGTTCACAATGTTGTGCAACCATCATCTCTAGTTGAAAAAAATGAGAAAATGATATTTCTAAAAAGGGATGATGGTTTGGATGTAGCTGGCTGGATTTCAAACCATTACTGATTCAGGAATGTGTCAATAATGAAGTAACCACAGCAGCTCACAGCCAGTGGTAATTTGCACCCTTTTGTCTTTGTTTTCTGACATTTGAACCTTTTCAGCATAAATTGAAAAAAGAGACTATTTTAGCTAGGCTTATATTCCATTTAAGAAGTTACAGAGATTTAAAACCATTTGACGTTCCCCCAGATGAATAAGAACAATTTATCTGAAATCAGAACAAACTATTAACTACTTGGAGATTATGGAAATGTTGCTGGGTTCTTACCATGACTCATTTTCCACCCCAATGCTGACTTCGTTATAAATGCTTCACTGCTGTGTCGCAGCGGCCCCCTAATGAACACTGTACAGCACGGAGAGGGTGAGTTATTCAAACACGGATGCTAAAGTGATGGGAATCCCCTGTGTATGATGTTCTGTCCATCGTTTGGGGGCTTCTGAGGCTGCCAAGATCTCTCCCATTATCACCAGCCTTCGCCCTTTTATCTGGCGGGACATCTGATTATTCCTGTATTGCTGTCTGATTCCATGGGACGTGGAAGAAAAGCACAGACCATTTTATAGGTTTAATGGTCAAAGGGGGGAAAAAATCACATATAGATTAGGTCATTGTCTTTTGTCTTTTTTGCTTAAGTAAACTCTGCCCGATGTGGGGCTTGACCTCAGGACTCCAGGATCAAGAGTTGTGTGCCCTATCATCTGAGCCAGCCAGTTGCCCCTCTTTTGTCTTATTTTTCTGAGTTGTATTTCTTAGTGCTTGAGCAGATATTTAAGACTCATGGGCAGTTCTGCTTGTTTCTGTAGGTTGAAAAGGCTGCCAGTATCTGCT